TTTAATTTTAAAAATCTGTGTCATAATATATCAGGGTAGAGGTGTGCATTGATAGCTACTTTTATTGTAAAGGCTTCTGACAACAGAAGCTCATCCTTGATTTTTTCTGCCATCAATCAGAGATTCCAGAGGATTTTTTGACGTTACTTCCTTAGATTTTTTAAAGAGATGCAGTGCTGGAATTTAGGTTTTTATTTGAGAAAATGTGTGAAATTATTTGCACTTCCCTCTGAAATTTTGGACAACTATGCATTCAGAAGATCTTCCATATATATTTCAACTTCTTTTGTGAATCGTTGGTTTCCATGAAAGTGCAGTGGTGTACATGCCCTGTCTCCATTGTAGTACTTTGCAATCTTTGGCTAATACAGTGACATTTAAATGACTATTATTACTGGACTATTATTGCATTTCTTCGTGTTTGAGTAGGAAGTAGACTAGAATCTTGTGCTTTACAGCACTGACAGTGTTCATTACAGCTGACTTATGTTTCTACAACTGCTGCAGGCAGAAGATTGCCTTGAGGCCCTGTCATCGGAGTCTCTGATTGAGTTGGTCTGGGCTGTACCCACTCTGTGCCATTGTTAAACCCTTGCTGCCATTTCGGGGACTCCAGGAGAACTACTGGGACACAGAACACTAACTGAAATTCTGCTCTCACCCTACAGCCCAGCAGAGCTTTCCTTTTATCCTTTAGTTTGATCATGAAATGTGACTCTCATCATCTGAGAAATCATCTTAGAGGACTTCTAGCTCTCACTTTATTAGACCTATCAGCCCATACACTTTGAAAGGCATGCAGCAATGAATACCTCTTGACCCCATAACCCTCATGACTGTTTGGGGCTGGAGGGGTCGAGTAAATGATAGATAGCTGTAGTAAATAGCAGAATGTAATGGACATATCAAAGAGAAACAGGGTGTTAGTGTGTGAACAACTGGAGTTGAGGGATATGTTAAATCTTTTCAGAGAAAGGGTCCAGACTTCTGTTCATTTGCTCTGGACTTAACAGAGAAGAAAAGATAAAACTTATGAACAGATTTTTTTCATTAACATATTTCAAATTATGCAGAAGCCAAACAATATCAGAATATCTAGCTCACTTGTTAAGTATTAGAGTGGGCCCTCATAGTGATTTTTATTATGTTAAATAAAATTGCTCTTGAAATCTACTGAGCAGATATTCAACTCTAACTAGTTTCACCATTAACATGTAGGCAGGGATAATTTCCAAAGTGTAATGATGAGTTTATGGGTTTTTCATCTTATAAATATCATTTACTTGTAAAAGTAATTTTGAAGAAAATGCCTTATTTCCCCATAAATAGTTTTAAAAATACAGCAATCTACACGTCAGACATGGAACAAGATCTAGAAATAATTTCAAAAGAAACTCATTGTTACAAGAGAAGCCAAATATGCAACCAAAGGAAACGTGAAATTTCACCGTTGTAGAGGTCATTATTAAATGGCATTTGGCTTAGGATGAAGCAGGAGAATAGATTTGCTTTGGCAACCCCGTCCCCATTTCCTCTTCTTTCTTGTTCAAGTGAAAAACATCTCCAAGTCATAGTTTCTTATATTGGAACAACCAGAGCCTGTTCTGGGATGGAGAGGCTGCATAGCGAGTGAGTCATTTCCATTTCAGCCAGGAATGCATAGTTTAGATCATCTTTATGTGATTCATGGGATCACTCTTTCCCAATATGGTCAGATAAATTGGTATGGGGAACTGAAGGTAAATCTAGGTCCTGTGACCTGAAGAAACTGTCACCCTGGATTAAAGAACGCAGATTATTTGAAGTTATAAGCAGAGCACTGAAGCCACTAGAGGCTGGTGCATTCTTGCCCACCTCAATCCATTACCTGCTTCTTAATAATAAAAACATTCACTTGCACCCTTTTGATGACCAAAATATATATTTAGGTGCATGGATGAGTGGGTGGGATACATCCAGATGTAGGTGTATTTGTGGCCATGCCCTCTGTCAGAAACTCACCTTAACTTCCTAAGAGTAAAAGGTGAGACCATCCCCTGCCTGTCAGGGGAAATTCCTCCTCCTTGCCTCTTGGGGCCCCAGGTCCATCATCACAGGGTAGATATCACTGGTGGCCCCTATTTTTCTTTAGAAATTACAGTCATGAAAATCCTTCATAAGTTATTACATTTTGGCTTTCTCTCCTAATAGTTTGTCTAATGTTAACTTCTTCAGTAGTCCACTCCCAGATGGAGAAGAGGTGGATGAAATTTTCTCCTGACTAGCTTCATATTTTTAAAATAGGGTCATTAGTGACATCTCTCATATATATATAATATATGTATTATATATATATATATCCCAAGATTGATTTTCTGAGGATAGAGATAAAACAGTTCTCAAATTAACAAAATACAGATACTGAAAACAATCTGAAATAATTTGCAAAATATTTTAAAAATTATAGTGCTAGTATATTTAAAATAATTTTTAGTCTAATGATTAAAAACGGGTACTAAATATATAATTATTTAGGAAGACCTAGTTAGTAGTCATTGGACTTCATCATTTCATTTTTACGTGAGCAGTATTTTTATTGTGTCCTTTAAACCAAGTCATATCTTTATTCCTATCAATATTCCAATAACCTATCTAAATAGTATATATCCAGCTCTTCCTCTTTGGTCCTATAATCTGGGACATGGACATAAATAGAATGATGAGCATCAGTCTGTCAGTATACGCTCCAGTAGGGAGCTCTGTCCACTGGGGATGTCAGATGAACATTTTTCAGTGATTGTATGAATTTACTAAACAAATGACTTTTGTGATTTTAGATGACGAGATTGGCCTTTCTAGAGTGATGTGTGGTTTCGTGGGTAGGCTGTAGGGCTTCCCACATCTCCTCCAGGCATATTGTATATTTGCCTTCCAGTGGACAAGAACACGCTTAGCCTCACTAGCAGTCCTAGTCTCCTTGTCCAGCCTCCTCGTCTTCTGTTTGATTTTGTCTTTCCATTTCCTGAAGATGAACTATTTTCACTACTTCAAATAATTTAACACTTATCACTTGATATCCAAATCCTACATACTTTGTAACTTACCACATTGCATATTTTCAACTATATTTGTTATTTTCCCTTGTATAAAGCTCTTCATATTCATTATAATATTTATAGAGCACACAAATCTTTAGAGGTGTACTTCTTATTTTTGTGATTGCTCAGAAAATGACTGTACTTTAGGTGTGACCTACACTTAGGTTCATGCCTAGGTGAGTAATCTCTTACAATGGCTGTTCCTTGATTTTTTTTAAGAGATCTTGAAGACTTATTAGGGGAAATACCTAGAAATATTTGTTGTTTTTCAAAACAGCACAAACTAAAGGTAAAATTTCTAATGTATTTGTTTTCATATGTAAGCTATGGTGGTTCTTTTTATCCTGGGTAAAGTTCTCATTTATTCCTGTGGAACTGCCTGAAATATGTACCTTAAGGACAAAGAAAGGTCACCAGTCCTTCTAACTCCTATTTCTTTGTCAAAACTGGACACAGTTAATGAAGTTTGTTTGGTAGTGAACAAATTCTCAGACACAGATAGAGATCCTTTCAATGGAAACAAATTTGTTTGGCTTTGCCAGTTTACTTAGCGATTAATAATAGCCCAGAGATGCAGGTCAGCAAGGTCACTGCACCAGCTTGCCAACACAATCGAATGTGCAGCTAACTGGGCTCTGGGGGTGCAGAAGCCCCCCAATACTATGCATAAAGTAAAACAGGCTATTTTTGAACTCCTCTTTTCATATTAATAAGCAATTTTCAAGAGAAGGGTGGCAAAATGAGGGCCATGCCACTCCAAGTAATTCATTTATTTTGCAATTTAATCTTATGTTGAAAAAATTGCTGCACTGCAATTGCAGAGCCATGGTGATTTTTACATGTCAGTGTGTTTCATAAGTAACCTTGTGTGGAGTATTATATTAGTCATCTGTAACAGAGAATTACAACAAAAATATTTCTAAAGCAAAAATGAGAATTTTTTTTTAAAGTTTTGGAAATCCCTCTCCCCTCTCTTTTCCCCACCTATCTCTGAAGTAAATGCTCAGATAACTTACTCAAAATTTTATTTACAGAACTAGATAATGTTACTTTGTGGGTGGGGGGACAGAGTACAGTTTCCAATATTGCTTTAACATGAACGGTTATTGTTCTAGGAAAATAAAAGTATTCTTTCCCCATATTATTCCGTACTTTCTTACTTCCTGGGGTGTTCATATATTTTAAGAGGTTATTTTTGGTTTAAGTTTCAGAGACACACATACATAAATGTGGAATCATTTCATTATATTAATGGGATCTGTTACTTTGATAAAATCCTAAACCCGTTTACCTAATTTATATTTTGTTCTAATTATCTATATAATTGAGCAAAATGCTAACCAAAATGTACAGTTAACATGTAATCTTGTTGATGCTATTTGAGCTATGTAAACTTGCAATAAATTAAGTACATGTCAGAAATCCTATTACTCTTAAAATTAGTCCTTTTATCAGTAGAGAAAACAAGTAATTAGGGATATATAGATACAGAAATAAAAAATTTAAAGGATAGTAGCTTGTTTTGTTGGTTTTTTGGAGGTGTACATTTCAGTATGTTCAAAATAGTTCATCTTCATTAAAAAATTTGCAGTAATTATGTTTGTATTGGATATATTTCCTCACTTCTTCAATGAAGATATATATTATATATATTAATATATAAAAGAATATCATATGAAGATATGTGTCAAATACAGAGATATTTAATTTTTAAAATCTAACTGCTGTGGGTGTAGGGTGGAAGAACATTTAAGCTATACAGATTCACCTAGACTGTGCAGGTGAGGTCTACTGTGCCGTTGATTGAGATGGATATGGAGGTTTAGTGCCACCTCAGAAACTTACTTGATGATTATCTGTGAAGGAATGAAAATGGGAGTCAACTTTGAGCATCATCAATAACAGTGGCTGGTTTTGATGCAGGGAGGCCCTGGAGGAGTTTGCTGAGATGAAACAAAGAGAGGAGAAGAAGGTTAGACTGGAGCAGGAAGAGAAGAGGCAAGCATACTTGGCCCGTAAGATGCATTACCTGCTCAGCACCAACCAGGTGAGTCTCAGGCCTCACGGCTCCTGTCAGCCCTGCGGTCTCCTTGCCTGGCAGAGATGAATGAGCGACCTGAATGGATAAACTTGTTGAAAAGATCCCACAAAGACTCTCCTTCAAGCTCAGGTCTGTGCAGCTGGGCCAGCCTGTTGGTGGCTGGAATGCCCCACTAGCAATGTGGTCTGCCTTTTGGGATTGCACCTCACCAAGGGCACTCCTGCCACCTCCTTCCAGAACCCTCTAGGAGTGCCAAGGGCTTGATCTAGAGTTGATTTAAACAACCACTGAGAGGTCATAAGCCCAGGAAACTTTCACAGACTCTTTGAACCGAGAAGTTGTCTAGATGCCAACCATAGTGCCACCTCCTCGCCCCGCCCCCCCACACCCTGTCTACATTATAGCTTGACAATGCCAGGGCCAGTTAGGCCCTTAGATGTAGAATTTGGAATTGCACATGTTCACATTTTAGTGCTTCAGGTCTTGTCATTGGGACTAGAAAAAAACATGCGGGACTAAAAAAAAAAATTGGGACTAAAAAAAAAAAATCATCCTACGTAGAATATTCATCCGTCTTGGGTTGGGAATGAATGTGAATTTTTTTAGGGTACAGGGAAGGGGTTGATATTTGTTGTTATTCGAGCCCCAGGCAGGAAAACATGAAGGTTCTGAGTTTTTAGTCCTTCCACCTTGCCTCTTAAAGCCAGACCCTCAGGTCTAACTAGAGTCCTGCAACAGTGGTCTCTAAGCTAGGGCAATTCACACCCCACAGGTGTATGACCCTCCCTCCCTTGCCAGACTGAATATCAGCCTTATAACCAACTTCAACAGGGTGTTAAGTATGTTAAGTATCAGTAATCAGGAGGCCGTGTCTAATGGGAATACAGACCTGCAGCTTCCCTGTGGAAGTCCAAGTAATGTGACTTTTCATTGACAATGACTGTCTTACTATTTGCTTGATTTGAAGAGCTGAGTTATCTTCATTTAGCAACAACCAAAAAGCCAGAAACACAGATGATCACATAACTTGTGTAATAGACACAGAACTCACAGTAATAGAGTTGGAGCTCGAATTAAGGTCTTTCAGCTCAACACAACTAGAAGTAATTTTTTTTAAAAAAATTGTTTGTTTTTAAGGCACACCCAACTGGTGGTACTCAGGACCTACTCCTAGCTCTATGCTTAGGGATCACTTCAAGTGTGGCTCACGGAAATATACCTGGTGCTGGGGATCTAACCCAGGTTGACTGTGTGCATGGCCTTACCCACTGTAGTATCTCTCCTACCCTTCAAGGTAACTTTGTTTTGTTTTATTTGGGGGCCACACTTGGTGATTCTAAAGGGTTACTCCTGACTCTCCAGTCAGGAATCACTCCTGGTGGTGTTCAGATGACCATACAGGATGCTGGGGATTGAACCTAGGTCAGCCACCTGCAAGGCAAGCACCTTAAACATTGTATTATCTCTCCAGCTCAACATAATTTTTTTTATTTTTGGGTCACACCCAGCGATGCACAAGGATTCTCCTGGCTCTTCACTCAGGAATTACTCCTGGAGGTGCTCAGGGGGCCATATGGGATGCTGGGAATCGAACCCAGGTCGGTCACATGCAAGGCAAATGCCCTACCCACTGTGCTATCGCTCCAGCCCCTCAAGATAATTTTAAATAATAGAATGTGAAGATATTTTCACTTTTGTTATAAAATCCATAATGATGTGAAAGTTTATTCTCATGATTGATAGGATATATGTACATATGTCACTGTCACTGTTATTGTCCTCCCATTGTTCATTGATTTTGCTCGAGTGGGCCCAGTAATATTGTGAAACTTGTTACTGTGTTTGGCATATCGAATACATCACGGGTAGCTTGTCAGGCTTTGCCATGCAGGCGAAATACTCTTGGTAGCTTGCCGGGCTCTCCGAGAGGGGCGGAGGAATCAAACTCGGGTCGGCCATGTTGGCTGCTTGCAAGGTAAACGTCCTACCTGCTGTGCTATTGCTCCAGCCCCATGTACATATGTATATGAATATAAATAAATATATGTACATTTAAATATAAAATTCCAACTCAAGAACTCTTTCAAGAAAAATAGGGTTTTCTTAGACTTTTAGAATTAGTAATTTCAATTTTTATTAAACCAAGGGGTTGGAAAATATTGTTATTTTAATTATTTCAACTTGATATTTCAGTTACTTATTTTGATAATTGAAATATTAATACTTTGAATCTTTTAAAATCTGTAATATAATGTTGTGTGTGCTTATAATGAGTAGTGTAATAAAGAAAACAATTTTTAAAGTGGTGGAATCAAATTTAATTAAAGTTATTTATCTGTCTTATCCAGGGTTATCTAGATCTTCATGTCTAGTATATAGTGGGTCAATTTAGAAAGTCCACAGACTTAGTTACTTTACTATAAAAATAATATGATAGCAGACATCAATACAATATTTATCATGCAGCAGAAAGTATGGTAAATGATTTATAAACTCAGTGTTAAACTAAACACTTAGCTTAGCAAATCATTTTACACACTCGATGGTGTTACTTGACTCATGGATTGTAATGGATTTTCAAAGAACACGACTACGATGTTTTGGGGATGTTGGTGTTAGCAAATACACACTGCCATGCTCTCTCTGATGTTTTTTCTCCATTTATGTTGTCCTGCCTGCTGGCAGCATCCGCATCTGTAAACTTTACCGGTCCCTTATCCCAGAAATCCCTTCTGCCCAGAAGTTCCAGCACACCAGTGAAAGGCATCTATTGTTGCTTTCATTGTCGCTGTGGCTTCAGCCACAGCTGCTGCAACATCCAGCAATTGCACATGCTCGTTGTGCCACTCTCTTGGCAGTACAGGCTTGGTTGCCCTGCTCATGCTCCAGTAGTGATGCTCACACACATGTGATTGTGATGTGCCTGACTGTGCACACTTTGTTGGGATGCCGCCGGGAGCTTTAGCTATGAATAAAGGTTAGAAACCTTTAAAATGCCGCTCCCCATTCCCACCCCTGTTTGAGGGAACTAATGGGGAAATTACGTTATGAAAGCACCTCCCTTAGAGAGGAATTTCATAAAAATATCAGGGATTTGGATCTGATAAGTTAGTGTGCTTTATCAGTTATCTTGTATCTGATCACAAATGACTTGAAATGAAAGGACAACCCATTGAACCCATGTGATGCGTTCATTGCCCAAAGCAAGCGTTCTTCTGTGGGAGTTGAGAGAATGGAGGCATCCTAACCTCATCTGTTTGCGTTGGTCTGAGAATGAGTTGTACTGATAGAACTGGATGGGAAATGTCAAAATTTCATTTCTTATACAAATCAGATATGCTACACTTAGCATGGGCTGGAGCAATAGCACAGCAGGTGAGGCGCTTGCAAGTGGTTGGCTGACCTGAGTTCGATTCCTCTGCCCCTTTCGGAGAGCCCGGCAAGCTACTCAAGAGTATCTCACCCAAACGGCAAAGCCTAGCAAGCTCCCCATGACGTATTCAATATGCCAAACACATTAACAATTGTCACAATGGAGATGTTACTGGGCCCATTTGAGCAAATCGAAGAACAACGGGAGGACAGTGACAGTGACACTTAGCTTGAAATTAGTGTTTCTCATCATCCTATCAAGATGGTTGAATTTTAGAACTAATACTGCAAGTCACAATTACATATAATTTTAACCTGAACAGAAAAAAATGCAAGTTTATTTTCACCTAATGAATACACGTATATTATTTAATAGACTGAATATGAATTTTACCTTTCAACTCCATTGATTATATAACTTATTTTTGAGTCCCTTCAATATCTACCTGATATTGTCCTGGGACTAGAACATACAAAATTATCCTTTATGATCCTTTTCCACAGGGAAAATTTCACTCTCATTTCCATCTAATGCTGAACAATTTTTTGAAGTTGAAGAAGGTCACGAAGTTTTCCATTACAGCTTATTTATATAGATAGTCTTGCTAAAATTGACCACTTATACCAATGATTCTGCTGATGCCATTTTGTTTATTTTAATGAATAAATGCACATATTCTGTCACCTAAAAAAAACTCGGAAAACTAAGGGTACACATTTCAGTTTGAGCCTTGCTACAGGTTTTCTCAGCCTCACATCCTATTAGGGAGGAATTAAGCTGCAGATTTAAATCAGATGTTTACCGGTTAATCCCATCACTTGGTTGAAAGAAATTTTATTTAATAATATTAAATACACATTTCAGTAGAGAATAAAGTCAAACATGTATTGAGTATTTAGAAAGATCTGTGTTAGTTTTAACTCTCAATTTGTGCAGATATTTGAGAATGAATTGAGTAGTCAGTTGTAAATAAATTTTGTAAGTATATCAAGGTAGGTGAAAAGTTATATTGACCTGCTAAAGAGGAATAATTCTAACTGCATTTTCAGAAAGGAGAGAAACATAATTTTGAGTGACCAGTATTTTAAGAATGGTGTTAAGATAGCTAGTAAAATTCTAATTTTATTTTAATTGTATAGTTTTAGATAACTTTGTTTAGATAATAGAAATGAAATATTATTTTAGGTAAATAATACTTAAGAATAGTTGAGGAATTTTATAAATTAAAATTGTACTTGTATTTTTTAATTATATATAAGTGAAACCATTTTTATTTTATTTAATGTGTTCATGATTTTGAGATGATTATGTTGATACGCTGACATCCTCAGACTGACAGCAAGCCTGTCAGTTTTAAGTCTATTTTTAGTACAAATCATTGTATACCATGAAAGAGTTTGCAAAAATCTATTACTGATTTTTCCAATATTAATTATCTCATTTTATGAAAGCAAATATGTTAGCACTGATAGGCATTACACAAGTAAATAACTAATATTGTAATGAATGAATTAATAGAACCCTCAGGGTTTTATTAATTAAAAATTTCAAGTCACATTAAAGCACCTTTTGTATATGTTTATTTCAATCAGAAAGCTGAACATAGTAACTTATTTGCATAAATAATCAATCA